GGTCTTGATGGCCAGCAGGCAGGGCTGAGCCCTCCAGACACACAGCAAGGCCAACAGCCACCATTGGGGCACCTTTCACCCCCCTGCACAGCACCTGCCCCTGCTTGCCCTCAGCTCACGGTGCTGGAGTGTGGAGGGGAGAGCGAGGACAGTGGCTGGGGGCCGTGGGGCTTGTGGCAGATGCGCTGGGTCTGAGGTCAGAGACCGAGCACCGGGGCTGGGTCCCGCATTTGTTATCACTGAGTGTAACGTTTAAGTGAACAATAATCATTGCACTGTCATTACAGATGTCAGGGAATAAGTAATGAATGTGAGCTAACAACGACAATCGCCACTTGTTTTTAGTGCTTACTCCGTGCCGGGCATTACGCCAGGTGCTATTTATGAACTCCCTCCTTGAGTCCGCGTGGTCTTATGAGGACGGCACCATCAGTCATGTTCCAAAGAGGAAACTGCGCGGTGAGGGCTTAGTGACTTGTTCAAGGTCACACAGCGGGTAAAGGGTAGAGGCTGGGACGGGGTCCGCTGTGTCCACTCCATGGTCACATGCTGGACTGACATAACATTTGTGAGATGTGAGCCCTCCTGGGCCGGCTTTTGTTCACTGGCAAATGCTTTTAAATACCTTGACCTTGATTATATTATAGGGGAGTGGTTAGAACTAATTGAATAAGGGATGTGACAAGTATTTGTAAGTTCATCCATTATTCAATCAATGGTGATTGATTGAACCCCTATCTTGTGCTGTTCACTCTTCTAGGGACCAGAGGTACAACAGTGAACAGAATGAATTAAGAATGCCTCCTGTTTTTTTGTTTTTTGTTTAGTGGTGATAGCATTTATTTTATTATTATTATTATTTTTGTGACTCCTCACCTAAGGATATTTTTCCATTGATTTTAGGGAGAGTGGAAGAGAGAGGGAAGGACAGAGAGAAATATCGACGTGAGAGAAACACATCAATTGGTTGCCTCCTGCATGAACCCTGACCAGGGCCTGGGCCAGGGAGGAGCCTGCAACCGAGGTATGTACCCTTGACCAGAATGGAACCTGGGACCCTTTGATCTGCAGGCCGACACCCTATCCACTGAGCTAAACCGGCTAGGGTGGTGATGGCATTTATTTAGATGAGGAAGAAGTTGTAAAGTGCTCTACAAACAGCAGGTAGTATCATTCTTTTCAGAATTGTTTTAAGGGATTATCAGCTATGAAACTGCCCTGATAAAGGGGCCAAAATGTCACTTTAATAACTCATACACCTGGCGCCTGGGAACACAGGTCTGCATGTTCCTTCAATAACTACCTAATTTAAGTCAGAAGTTGGCAGATGATGGCCCAGTACCAAAACCAGCCCACCACCTGGTCTTGTACAGCCTGGGAGCTGAGAGCAGTTTTCACAGTTTTCTATGTAAATGTGAAAAAAGACCACATAGCCTTTCCCTAGAACAGTTGTTCAATTTTTCCTCTTGGTTGGCGAAACCTACAATATTTACTATCTGGCCTTTACAGAAAATGTTTGCCGACCCCTGGCCTAAATTAATTGGTTTGGCTCAGATTGAAGAAGTGTGCTCAAGTGGAAACAAAACAAAACAGAACAAAACTCGAAACCCACCTCACACGCTGACCAAGTTCTGTGTCCCCTTCCCCCATTCCCTGCGGGCCCAGCCCCAGGCGTTGAGACCCTGACTCCGATGAATGCCAGTGCAGGGCTGTGTAGTAGGACCGAGTGATTTATTTTAGCATCTAAATTTTAAATGGGGTCTTTGCTTCCCGGGAAGCTGTCTGGTTTAGAAAATTGCCCATAATAAATGCATGCAATAAATCCATTATTTTGAACCTAAGGAAAGGTATTCAAGTTTTGTAAGAGCAAATCAGTTTCTCCTCATCCTCCCTGAATTCACGTTATGTTAATAGTGTAAAACAATGGTTTGAATGGGTGCTAAATTACCAGCTTGCCAAAATGCAATCATGGCTCTTATTTTTCCAATTAATCATGCAAAAAAAATTAAATAAATCCATTTGCTGGTATCCCCTAGTGAGGCTTCCTCGCTACTCCTCAATGATCCAAGAATCCCTGGCACTTACTCGGTCCAACAGGCTCCGTCGTGTTGTGAGGTGCTGAGTGGGAAGGTGTCTGGCGAGGGTGACCTGTCCACTCAGAGGACCTGGCTTTCAGGGTGTGAGCTGTCGGCCCAGTCCAGCTGGTCCTGTGCGTCCCCACCTGCTGCTGCAGGGACGCTGGGCCTGGTTCTCCTGCAGGTTGCAGGGCTCTTGAAGTTCTAATTCTTGGTTGGTTTTTTTTTGTTGTTGTTGTTAATCCTCACCTGAGGATATTTTTCCATTGATTTTTAGAGAGAGTGGAAGGGAGAGGGAGAGACAGAGAGAAACATTGATGTAAGAGAGGCACATCGATTGGTTGCCTCCTGCAGGCACCCCGACCCGGGCCGGGGAACCTGCAACTGAGGTACGTGCTCTTGACCGGAATTGAACCTGGACCCTTCGGTCTGAGGGCCGACGCTCTATCCACTGAGCCAAACCGGCTAGGGCTGAAGTTCTAATTCTCTCAGTTGGTTCACACTCAGTGCTTAAGGGATTGGGTTGTAAGAGGGGATCAGCTTTGGCCCCAAGCTGTGCCTCTTTGTTGAGACTTCAGGGCCCAGAATTAGGACTAGCCTCCGGGCATGCACCTCCCCCCTCTTTGTGGTGCCTGTGGTGTGATTTCCAGCAAGCTGATTTTGGCCAATATCCAATCTCTTCACTGAGGAGCTTCTCACCACATCCCTCTTTGAGGGTGCAAGGCCTGGGCAGGAGACTGTTTAGACCCTTTGCAAATTTACCCCCCTGCTCCTCAGTGATCCCTGCTGCAAACCAAGGGAGATTGGGAGTGATGGTCTTTGTCAGGCCACAGGAAGTCCTGGGCAATGAATGTCTGCTCGCTTCACCTTTGCAAGAGGGGTTCCCGGGAGTCTTCCCCTTGTCCCCACTGAGAACATTGGTCCCAACGTGATTTGCTGGTTCACTTGGTGGAAGTGGCCGGCAGCTTCTGTTTTGCAAAGTTCATTCATTCATTCATTCACTCACTCATTCATTCATTCATTCAACAAAAGTGTCTCCTATACCAGTGATGGTGAACCTATGACACGCGTGTCAGAGGTGACATGCGGGCTCATTTTTTTTGGTTGATTTTTCTTTGTTAAATGGCATTTAAATATATAAAATACATATCAAAAATATAAGTCTTTGTTTTACTATGGTTGCAAATATCAAAAAATTTCTATATGTGACACGGCACCAGAGTTAAGTTAGGGTTTTTCAAAATGCTGACACGCCGAGCTCAAAAGGTTTGCCATCACTTTTATATGCTGGGCACTGTCCTAGGCACTTGGGACACAGCAGTGAGCAAAACAGAAAAAGACCACTGCCCTTGTGGGGATACATGGGAGTATGCTTAGTGCTGCTCTGGAGCACAGCGCAGTGCTGGGGGGGGTGGGGGCATGAGGAGGGCAGAGGTGAAGGACAGATGAAGGTGCATGTGTGTCCAGGATGCTGGGAAAGGCTTCACTTGAGAAGAGACATTTGCTGTGTCTTGAATGCTGAGTGGGATTCATCAAGGCACCCAGGGGCAGGGCTGGGGAACAGACTTCCCAGTTTCTTGCAAATAACTCAGCTCCAGGAGGGGTCACTCGGGGGAAAAGGCACTCTAGGGTGGGCTGAGCCCACTGAGGAGCTTTGAATTCCGTGCCAAGGAGTTTGGCATGTCAGGGACCCCAGTAATGAGCAACCTGGGGGGAGCCGTTCACACAGATTTCAAGGCGAGTAGCGCCCTCTAGAGCTGTGTCCTGCCACTCGTCCACTGCGCTATGGTCTACCCCAAGGCTCTGTTCAAGGGCTGGCTGTGTGTTCAAGGGCTGACGCTGTCTCATTCCCGACTTTTCTGGTGATCACACTGAATAACTTCTCTCCTGCCTGGTGCCTGCATGCCACACCTCCTGACTTAGGACCAGAATTCGTTAGCACCTGCTTTGTTCTCTCTCTGGGCATCTTCAAGGTCTGGGATGGTTCCTGGGCTCATCGTTCTCAGCTCAGAGTGGTTCTTTGTATACAGTGTTACTAACTGGGGGCTCCGCCCCGACACTGGGGGCTGTGAAACAGCGGCAGGTGCGAACTGGACCAGGGGTCCTCAAGTTTGGTCCTTGGGCCCCGTGAGCCTGCATCGTCCTGTTGACAGTAAATGCAGACCCGCCTCAGCTCTACGGAATCTGAATCTCCGCGAGTGGGGCCTGGAGTCAGCTTTTTGGACGTGCCTGGCTCCCCAGTAATTCTTACGGGTGAAAAAGTTGGAGGACTGCTGTATGAAGCAGAAGCTCCTCCACATTTTGGGGAGCTGGGGTGAGTTTTCCTCGATCGGATTTCATGCATTTAGCACCAGGAGATAGTTAGGGGTTTTCAAAATGCTCCGCCTGCTGGTGTCTCAGTCTCCGCCTGCTGGTGCCTCACTACCAGGAGGCTGGTGGAGAGGGTGAATCTTTCTTACTTACAGCTTCATTTCCTTCCCAGGGATTTATGCCCCAGGGCTGGTTCTGCCCCTGGAGTCACACCAAGCAAGCTCAGTGCTTCCTCCCAGTGGCTGTCCTTCAGATGTGTAAAGGCTACTATCATACCAAGATCCGAGAGTTATTGACCAGTCTTTATCTATTACTAGGGGCCCAGTACACAAATTCGTGCATCTTGAAAGGAACTGTGGGCTGTGAGGCTGCGGTGGGCACAGGGGCAGGCCTCAGCCCTCCTCTGCACCCTGCCTGGCCCCTCCCACCACAGCCCCCACCCCCCGTCCTCTGTCTGTTGGCAGCCCCGTTCCCACTGCCGCTGCTCCCACGTGCTAACGGTGCCGAGCGAGGGGGGCCATCACCAGCAGCAGTTGTGAGCCCCGGGCAGGACTGAGAATTTTCAGTATCCACCAGAGGCTCACCCCAATGACAGTGACCAGTGCCCCCGCTCACCTGCTTCACCATCCCACTGAGGCTGCCGCCACCATGTTCCGAGCGTACCCCCTGGTGGTCAGCACACGTCATAGTGACTGACCAGCTGTTCTGCCATTTAGTCTATTTGCACATAAGCCTTTTATTATATAGGACTAGAGGCTCAGTGCACAAAAATTTGTGCACTCGGGGGGAAGGGGAGTCCCTCAGCCTGGCCTGTGCCCTCTCGCAGTCTGGGACCCCTCAGGGGATGACCACCTGCTGACTTAGGCCTGCTTCATGGGGGATTGGGCCTAAGCTGGCAATCAGACATCCCTCTGGCAGCCCGGCAGCCCTCAGGGGATGTCCACTTGCCAGCAGAGAGCAGGCCTAAGCTGCAGTCAGACATCCTTAGCACTGCTGAGGAAGTGAGAGAGGCTCCCACCACCACCACTGTACTGGCAGCCATCAGCCT